AATATTATTAATTGAATATATTTATGGTAAAACTAACACGTGTGATTGTAGCGCTGTATTAAGCTTCTATTTCGCGATCACAGCGTTTGGGCTTGAAGCATTGTGGTTATTAATGAGAAAAAGTATTATTAAAAAGCCACATTGCTTCGACTTCCCAACATCCACTGAGGTCGCGTTGTTGGGAATGTATACTTTCTCTTGTGGGAAGAATTTTGCTATTATAGGCGCATGTATCGGATATTTATGAACAGAATATTGTATTTGTACCATGTATATATTTATATATTTGTACAACATTAATACCTTTCATCACACAATATTTCGATTGCCAGTCGTATCTACTATTGCAAAAGTTGCTTTCAAATGCATTAACTATGTTTATGCTCGCAACTTTTACAATTGTTATACCTGACAATTCAAACAGACCTAACTATTTATTGATCTAGTTTATATCCGCGTATGTGAATGTCCACATAATCGCATCGTTTAATCTCTTAAAAAGTAGAAAAGGAAGTATCCAATTACTTAAAGTTAGTGATCCCAAACTTTGTAACTTGCTAAACAGAAAAAAGCAATCGTAAGTTTGAAATAAAGTTATTTTTCTACGAAACTAGGAAAATGATATTTTTCCCTGAATAGTTTTTGCTGTCAGTGAAGCAGTAGATTTAAAAAATTGTCAAATTTTTTCATAAAAATCTTTTTAAATTTTATCAATATCAATGATTGCACAATTATTTTTAACTTTATTTAGGCGGTATAGCAAAGATATTTCTATTTGTAGTAATAAAAAGTGAATTAGATTTTTTTTTTTTTTGATAGATCTTTTTTCACATAAGTTTTTTTTTTTTATTAATCGTACAATTATTAAAAATATATAATATAAATAATATTGTATGATTACTTTAAAATTTGGAAATTCAAGGAAATATATATTTAGTTTATATATACATACATACATATATATATATATATATAAACTGCTCTTGATAAAATGCTTTTTTATGCAAACTATAATTACAATAAATAATAGAAATATTAATAGTTTTAATAAGAATAGAAAGAGATATTTATTCTATCCCGTAACTTTTTCATTCTAAGCTCTAATAACAGCTTTGATTAATTTAGTATAACCAATATTCTGAGTTACAAGAAGGGGTCCTGTTATTTGATCTAATTGGCTATGATTTATATATTTAGAAAATAATATTTATATATATATTTTTTTATCTATTTATAAATATTCATAAATACTTCATTTTCCTTCAAATACGACTAGGAGTTTTCTTCTACTATGTTTTTTATGTATATGCACAATTGGTTATTTTCACCCTCGGGAAATCAGCACGTTCCGGTCAAATGGACAGCGACCCTGATTACAAGTTGACCATACTTTTATTCTTATTGCTTTGCACATTGAGTTTGCACTGAATATGTGAACAAGTTTGGGAGAAAATTAATTAGAAAGGGAGAGGTAGACGTTAAAGGGCAGAATTAGAATCCCATAGCAACAAAGCACGACCTAGCAATATATAGGTCACCTTCCTTACTGACTACCAACAGAAGATGCCGGTATTTTACTCACTGCTGAGTGATTGTCGATGAAGAAGGCATCCCCTACGTGCTGGCGCGAGCTTCATTCAGGTATTATCCAATTTATATATTCATAATTCATTTTATACCGATATTATTATTATCATTCTTTGTTTAAACACTATGTATCGGAAAGACAATATTAGGGATTATTTTAGATTTGCTAAATATTAGTACCTGGGACACAACGCATTCAATCGACAGGTCGGGGCGGATGGCACCACTCGTTCGTAAATATTTTTTTAATACGTTTTCCATTTTTTTTTTTTTTCAATGCACATCAGCCATT